CTTCTAATAGTGGCGAACAGCTTTGCAGAATTGTGTCTATGTCCCAGGACTTTGTAAAATGTAGAACTTTGGAGCAATGAATTAGGATATCTGGTGAAAGAAATTTCTAAGCAGCAAAGACGTCAAGCTGCTGCGTGCCTACTTTTGACTGCTTATAGTGAAATGAGAGAGCAAAGAGATGACTTCAACATAGAATTTATAATTAAGGACATGGGAAAGGGTGGAAAGATTTGCAAAATTCTTAGCTTGCGCATGTGGCAGAGAATGACAGCATTTTTATAAGAGAAAATCTAAGGTGTGGCTAAGTGATCTTTTGCTTAAGAGATTAATAGGGAGAGAAGGAAGCAAGGTGCTATTTAGCAAGACATTGGGAGAAGGACCCAGAAAGCAACCTAGAGATTTTCAAGTTTGTGCCTCCCAGAGATCTAAGAGGCCTGAATGGTTTCTGGGGATGAGCCTGGGGCATTCTCCAAGGGCTTACTGCACAGAACCACCTGAGTCTGCACTGCTGCTGCTCTCAGCATTTTGGTACAGTGCTCCATGGTGTCTCCAGCTATGAATTAGGTGGCCCCAGGCATGGCTAAACCTGCTGCTCCGGAGGGAAAAAATCTGTAAATGATGGCCAGGTCACATGGTATTAATTCTTCAGAAAAACAGAATGTAAGGTCTCCGGGGCACGGCTACTTAGATATCCTCAGAGCATGCCCCCCTAGATTATAAAGGCTGTTGTGGATGGCCATGGACCAGGCAGAGACTTGTTGCACACAGTCCCCACTAGGGCAGTGTCTGTGGGAATTGGACCACTACCAAGACCCTAGAGTTTTAGAATTATGAGTGTGGGCTGGAGCTGGGAGATCTGCAGTCATGAGACTCCAACCTGAGAGAGCTGATACATGGTCTGCACCCATCAAAGCTGTGGGGTTATGGCTGTCCAAGGCCTTGGGGGCCTGCCTCTGTATTAGATGTATCCATGAAGTGGGATATGGAGTTAAGGAATTTTTTTCTGGAGCTTTGAGATTTAATGGTGTTTACCCTGTTAGGTTTTGGATTTTCTTGGGACCTATTACTCCTTTCTTCTTGCTTATTTCTTCCCTTCAGAATGAAAATGTCTGTCATATGCCTGTCTCACCATTATGGTCTGCAAGTAGACGACTTGTTTCAATTTCACAGATTCACAGAAGGAGGGAATTTACCATAGAATGAGTAGTGCTGTGAATCTCACCCATCACTGATTCAAATGAGACTCTGGACTTTGGACTTTTGAGTTGATGCTGGAAGGAGCTGAAATTTTCTAGCTGTGGGGGTGGAATGAATGTATTTTGCATGTGAGAAGGATCTGAATTTTAGGGGCTAGGGAAGAATGCTATGGTTTGAAGGTTTGCCCCCAAATTTCATCTGTTGGAAATAATCCTTCCATCCATACATTAAGTTACCTGGTCTCAAGTATTTTGTTAGAGCAACAAAAATGGATTTTCATGGCATGTAACCATTGCTAAGTCATAGGCCTTGTGGAGTTGGAGAATGGTGGGTGGGCACAGAGAAGGTACTGGGAGATGATGAGGCAGTGTTCATGTCAGGGAGAGGTGGCGGCCACTGAGATGGAAGGAAGTGGGTGGCTTTCATTTGCTTCTACAACCAAAGCTAATCCAAAGGCTGGTGGATTGTGTGGAAAAAAGGTATGAGAGAAAGTTGTAAATGGAACTGTTACTGTTGGTTTTACTTGAGTCTAAAATTGAGACGCAGGTGGAGCCTGGGCCCGTCTATACTTTTAGGTTAGGTTTTGTTGGTTTCAGTGATGGCGGCCAGTTCCAAAGGTCTTTCTGTTGTGTCAGCATCTGTCCCTTGGCCCGGTGCACCATCTTTATGGACCTCTCTTGGTGTCTGCTGGTGGATGAGTCACTGAAGGAAGGACACTTGTGGGGTTGGACAAGATGAAAGGGCTATGAAGCTAAGTTGTTGCTTAAGTTTTCTGTGTGTTTGAATTTGAATGTCTGACATTGGCAGTTAGGTGAAAAACGTCCTGCATTTTAACTTACTTCCTCTGCTGTATTCCTTTGTCCTCATGTTCTGAGGAGTTACAGCATTTAGACTGTGCACTGTCTGAAGGTGCCCCCAATACAAGTGGCGTGAAGTGTGGCCTTTTTGTATTTAATGTTTTTTTTTTTCTTTTGGCAGTGCTGGGGGTTGAATTTATGGCCTTGAACATACTAGGCAAGTCCTCTTCCACTGAGCTACACCCAACCCCTGTATTTAATTATTGATTCACTTTTAAGCTGTCTACCAGTTTTAGCAACAGCATTCTGAAATTGTATAATTACTTTTCATAGGAATTAGCCTTTTCTTCAATTTCATTTTATTCATGTATTTCTTAATTTGTCCTCATAAATGCCTTCTTACTTAGTGAAAACACAGTTGTCTCTGATATCAGTCCAATATGGAATTTAATTTTTGTAAATTAAAGGTATTCTGTTGCCTTTTGAGAAAGCCTAGACTTCACTCCAGAGCTGTCTGGCAAAGAGGATGAAAGTCTTTGTGGTGAAAGTTGTGATTTGTTGGGTGTCTAAATAGTCACTGTTATTACTCTAAATATTTAGTGTGAGAAAGCTAGACAGAAGGAAAACTTTATAGGAATTTTTGGAAGATATCAAAGATCCTCGACAGGAATCAAGAGGCATTTTGTTCCTGAAATATTTTAGAAGTAAATAAAACATTTATTTTTGCCCAGGTTAGTATATTCTTTAATAGGATCTTAAGTTTTTGTCATGTCTGACTGGAAAACTGCAAGAGAAGCACTCTCTTTACTGATTGGGGAAATAGACAGAAATGAGTTCCATCTGGACTCTGTAGGTGCCTGTCCTGTAGTCAAGGTCAGCGTGTGAAACGTGCTGGTCTGTGTTCTGGGTGTTTTCCTGCTGGGTGTAGGTGCCAATGAACTGTCCTAAACAGTGCTCAGAGGTTGTGTTTGCAGCGGGCTCTTTGATGACAACCAGTTAGCACTGAGGTTATTGTCAAGGGATGTATCTTAGTCACTCTGTTCAGTTTGTCAAATTCAAAATTCCTATTGTCTTTGAAAATTGAAGTTTCTTATCAACTTTCTTGAAAATAGACAAAAATGGTTGAAGTAGTGATGAGCTTGACAGGACAACTCTATTTCCTTTTACCTTAATTATAAATCAATTTCTTGTGCCCAACCACAATTAAAAAAACAGATCTCCTAAGCATATGTTCTGATTTTTGAAGGCATATGCTTGGCAGATGCATTGGGAAGTGGTCCTGGGGCATTCGGATCAGAATTCAGGAAAAGATTAGGTTCCCTGGAGATGGAAGCCCCTCAGGATATAAGGATTACAAGTGATTCATAAGCTGTCATTATGGTGACCCAAAGTCCATTTCCCAATGTTCTGGCCCACTGCCATTTCAAAAACCATCTGTTTTTTTTTTTTTTTTTACTGTGTACCTTGCTTTTTTACCTTCCTTTCCCACCCCCTACCCCCCAAATTGTATTCCACTAGCTACTTGAATTTCAACATGTTCAGGATGACATCATCATTGTGATACTTTTCAAATATTCTAATTCTTTTTTTAAAGGATTAAAGTAGGTACCCTTAATAAATTACCTTGAAGTATACATATGGAGCCTTCAGTAGTCAAATGGTCTTGAATTTCCCATTTGGGTCCTGAAGAGATCAAGATCCTCTTTAAACATCAAGCTTGCAGTTTGCAGGTGTTTAACTTTGTATCTGATTATGAGGAAATTGTTTGGCATGTTATAGGTCATGATAACTAGTATTTGTTTAGTGTTTACTGGATGTTGGATCTTGTCCTAAGTCTTTATGTGCATTAACTCATTTATTTCTTGTCAAGGTTGTACAAGGGAGGTACAGTTTTTTTTTTTTTTTTGGTTTGTTTTGTAACTGGGGACACTGAGGCTCAATGAGTTTAATAATTTGCCCAAATATCACCTGCTGTGTCAGGAGATAAACCAAGGCTGTCTGGTTTTCAAGGTTGAGTTCTTAGACAGGGTGCCTTACAGGACACACCAAAATGGCTGTATTTGCAGATTGTTTATCTGGATTCTGAGCTCAGGACTTCTTCCATGACAGGTAGGAGGCTGGTAGGCTTTATTTTCACCCTTTAATATTAGGGAAATCTAGTTGTTCTTCATTGAGTGACCTGTTCAGAGCACACCCATGTCACAAGTGTACCAGATAGGGCGGGAGACACCCAAAACAGCAACAACCAAAATAAAGTCTCCTTTTTTTATGCCCTTGCTCTGTTTTAATCACTCTTGTAAGTCATTTAGGAGTATGTTCCATCCAGCAATATTACACAGTGGCACCCCAGTGGAATATACTAAAATCCCCGATGATGTGGGTTTTATCCCTAGTGCCCTACTGAAGAGCCAGGGTGTGGGAAGGTGAATGAATTGCCCAATTCACTACAAAGCTTCCTCCTGAAGGACAAGGGTTTCTCACCACCCTCTCCATGACTGGAACAGTACCTTGGATTGCCAGGGCATAGAACTTAAGTAAATGAATCAAAGTCGATGGGAAGGGGTAGGAGCCAAGCTGCAGGCCTGCCTCCCTCTGCTGTGGGGAATCTGTGTGTATTGTTCTCTGCTCAGTGACCCTATTTGGAGATTGGTGTGGGGTTTCATGGGCTGGTGTCTGGTCTGAGGTGGAGACAAGTCTCCGTGGGGTTGGTGGAGGGTATGGGTTTATCTGGGAGAATCCCTTGAAGGATGTGGTCTTTGACCTGGCCTTGAGACTTCTAGGTCAACTTCATCTTGAGTCTTTCCTTTGATCTTCTGGTGTCTTGGTGGAAGTGGCAACTAGAAACCTACTTTTCGTGGACTCGCTTTCTTGTTTTGTTCTTGGGAAGAGTCTTTTAAACCATTTCCTTAGGAAAAAAAAAATTCAGTCCCAGGTATCCGTGTGAAGTGCACATTTATGTCTTAAAAGTTTGATCCAAGTTCAGTGATGGTCTCTTTGACTTTTCAGCTTTGGTGCTGACAGCGATGCTGAGTGGGAGGAGACAGCCCTGGGGAGCAGCAACCCAGTGACTGGAGGGGTTCTCACCTCTGTTGTCAGTGAATCCTGGTTGGCCTCCCAGGCAGTCAGAGCCGCTGAGCCAGCTGCTGACAGGTAAGTCCTGGGTGTTTTCAGCTACAGATAGTGCCTTTATTTGCAGGAGAGTTGTCTGTTAAATATTGATCAAGGCAAGGTCAATAAATACATGTCACTATAGACAAAGACTAACACTAGCTCCTTTATTCTAGGGTTCCCAAGGGCGTTTCCTTGCCTGTCTGTTCTTTCTTTTGCTCCTCTTTGGCTCTGTTGTGCTTGGGAACACTGAGCTGGGATGGGTGTGTTGGGAGAGCTGGGCCACTTGATCTTGCAGGTCCCTTCTGCCCTTCCATGAGGTTGGGGTATCAGTGCTGCCTCCTGGGTTGTTCTGGGCAACTTGTCACACTGTGGGCATTCAGAGTTGGTAGCTGTTGTTTGTAAAGGTGGGCTACCACAAATTGGGCTGGGGTGGAGGGCATCTTGACCTCTGACTTATTTCCCACAAGGTGTGTGTAGGTCTGCTGTGATCTTGAGTGGGCATGGGCTTCACTGACTGAGCTGAGAGGACCTGGGATCCAGGGCAGGACATCTGACCTGCATGCTCTTGTTTCTTCCCATTGTTCACCAAGATAGATGTTACGATTGGGTTCTCCAAGGATGAGTCCAAGAGAGAAAGTCTAAAACTTCTGTTTTTGTTGATTTGTTACATGGCTTCACATTGCACCCCAAGTCCTTGCCAGACAGGTACTAAAACCTAATCTGATAGAGATGTTGATAGTAGCATGGGTGGTACTCTCTAGGTTCTATGCTCTGGAATGTACGTTCTCTCTAAGACAGTGCCAACCCCACCAGGGCCACTGGCATCCCTGATAAGCCTCTGCACTAAAAAAACTGACCCAAAGCTAGATGCAGTTAACTTGGGAATGCTTTAGAATGTATTTGATTGAAATTGTTAAGAGGATTAGTTCTCAATTTCCTAACTTGTTGGTATTCATTCCATAAGTTACCGGTGCACACCCACCTAGTACCAGGTACTGTCCTGTGTGCTGCAAGCACCATGGGCACTAGATGGCCAAAGTCCCTGCCTGGAGGGAGTATATTTTTAGTAGAAAGATATTCTGTCAAGAGCTTGTGTTCTGTTTCACCTAAAAGTTGAAGCCCAATTCCTTAGGGTAATAGAGGGATGATACAAAACAAGAGGGTGTGAGAGGAACCAGCTTTTGTCAGAGCACCTTATGGTTTACAGAGTGTCTCAGCTAAAGGCACCCAGGCCTGGGTGTAGACGAAGCTATAGGTGGGAATCAGGGACCCTATGTGATGGAGCCTCACAGGATAGATTATGAGGGGGTTAGGCGGGTATCAGGATAGGCCTTGCTTTTTTCTTCAGTGTTCACTGCATCTCAAGAGCCATCCCTGTTTATTTGTGGTCATAGTGAGGAGAGAAGAAAGGGTTAGTCATCCAGTTTTATCTGGATTTTACATTCCATGTTTTCATTTACATGTGGTCAAGTGTAACCTGAAGTCACAGTTATGGTACAGTAAGATATTTTGAAAGAGAGACCACATTCACATAACTTTTATTATCTTATCATAATTGTTGTTTTATTATTAGTTATTATGATTAATCTCCTACTGTGCTTAATTTATAAATTAAGCTTTATCATGGGTGGTATATATGTGTATGAAAAAACATGGTATTATATTGTTCAGTACTAGCTGCCATCTCAGGCATCCACAAGGGGTGGGGAGGGGGTCTTGGATTATCCTGCATGGATAATGTAGGACTACTGTGTGAGTGTCTTAATCATTCCATTTTCTTTCTGTTCTCCTACTCTTGGAACTAAAGAGGACCAAGTGTTTGCCTTAAGCCTGTACCTCTTTGGGTCTAGTTTGGCTCTCTTCTATCTCCATTTTTGCCTGCTCATTTTGTTCTTATTAGAGAATTTCTAGGATCAACAGTTGAGTTGGGTTCAGAGCATGACATCCTCAAGCTCAGTATTCAGTGCAGCAGCTTCCCACTAGTGCTACTGCACCTTGAGGAAGACACTCTCCTGTTCCTGGCTGTTGCGGACTGATCAACTTCCCCAGGGTGCAGCTCTCAGTGGGCTTTTCTCATAGAAGAGGGTGGTTCTCTGCTTGCTCTGCTTACCCTGGAAGATTCAATCAGAGGAGGGTGCATTATTGTGGCTACACCCATTCTTATTAAGCAGTCATTTCTCTGCCCAGTTGCAATGGTTGATCGTTCTTTCTCATTTATGGTATACTGTAAACCAAAACATTCTGACACTCTAACTTAAAAATGATATGACTTCTACCTTTTTCTTTCCTAAGTTGGAAAATTGCAGCAGCTGTGTCGCACAACTGGTCGGTAAGGTCAGATAGTCATGATCTGGTCTTTGAGAAACTCTTGTACACTGTGGTGTTGTATCTTGCTGCCTTTCATGACATCTTGTTGTTTTTGCCTTCTTTAACAGTTAATACCCCTTATCCTCTATTTTTGCATTTCTTGTTCCCCCATCTGTTTGTCTACTGTTTGATCTATATGAAAACACTTTCATATTCTTTTGTTGGACTTGTGTTATCCTGTGGAGTTCCCTTATTGTTTTATTTTTGCCTTATTGGGGCACTTAACCCAGTACATTTTGATTTGGTGGTTTTGTGTGTGTCCCCTTTCAACACATTGCACCAGAAAACATATCATATATCATATGTCTTGCTATCCCTATATGATGCCTTTTCTGGCAGAATCTTGATAATCACCTGGTTGAATTGTTGCCTCAGTTGGCTTCTAATATGTTGGAGTCTTAACACGTTGTTCACTGATCCACAGAATCTAAAAATCACCAAGATTAAAGGAAGAAAAATAATCTCTCTGCTTGTGAGTAACTTAGAGATGTAGCACATTAGCTCTTTGTTTCAAGAGTGTTTGTGATTCTTGTGGAAGCATTTTTATGATGTCTGCTTTAAAATTCTTGTCAGATAATTCCAGCCTCTCTGTCTTCTTGGTGTTGGCACTTGATAATTGTGTTTTCTCATTCAAGTTGTCATTGTCCTCATTCTTGGTCTGAAAGGTGATTTTCACTTGTATTCTAGTCATTTTGAGTGTTACTTTGTGTGAATCTGGATTCTATTTAATCTAGAAGGCAGATTCACTATTGACCTGTAGTGTGTAGATCTGAGTTGGTGTGGGTATTCTGTTCCTTGCTGGGCAGTGCTGACACCCACGTTAGGGGATGTGGAGGTGAAGGGCTCACACATACACTGCTTCAACATTGTAGGATGTGGGTGGAGACAGATTACATGGGAGGTGAGGAGGAAGCAGACGTCATTTAGTTCTACCTCTGACCACCATGTTCTCCGCATGGACCCGGGGTGGTGTTATAACTTGAGCTCCCTGTTGAACCTTACCTACTTTACCCCTGAGGAGGAATTGGCTCACTGCCTGCTTCCAAGTGGGAGATAGATCTGCTTCCATTTTGTTAACAGACACCATGATTGAAGATTAGAGTGTGAGTACCTGCTTATGCAAGCAGCCAGGAAGGGGTAGAAAATTAGCTTCTTACTTAGCTCCCCCCAGAAACTAGAGTGTCAGGAAACTGTTAGCATGTGGTTGGGCTTTTCTTGATCCTTTGGCTGAGGGACAGGCTTTCTTGGATCTTTTCTGACCTGAGTCTGTTGGCAGTTCTGGGCTGGAGACTAGCACAGTATCCTGTCTGGGATTCGAAGAGGAATAAAGAATGTGGGAACTCACTACCATATTCCTCCTGAGGCCCTTTCACAATCTGACTTCTTTTGGCCACTTTCTTGAGTCTTCCTTGGCTTGTTCTAGGATTGATCATACTTCATCTTGTTTGGAATTGGAAGGCTCTACTTTGGAGGTTTGAAGTCTCCTGTTTGAAAGCTTTTATTCTCTCATGGCTATTGAATGTTAAGGAGAAAGTTATAAAAGATAATTTTAATTGTCAGGATCCTACCTATTAGAGGAAAAATACTTATAAAGCAAAATGGATGATTTTTAAAATTCCAGCATTTTCCAAAATTGGAAGGATTATGTCTCAGTAATCTTAGTGGTTGATAACTTGTCAGTCTTCTCAGTCTTTTCAAGTCATTAGTCTGTCTTTTTGCTATCATTCTGAAGATTCAAAACAAAAACAGTATTTCTGCCATTATTTCTGTCCATCAGAGTCAGGAAAAGATCTGATTGCTACTCAGGAAATCATGGTGCCTTAATTTTGGTGACTTCCATTGTATCTATAAAATAAGTTTTTCTCAAGAGTTGAAATTACATTAAAATATTAGTATTGGTAAGTTTCTGATAATTTGGGGGCATTGGCATATTTAGAGATAAGGTAGCTGGTATTATTTCCTTAAGCTTGAGGTTTTTAAGCAGTGATGATGCCAAAGTTACATTTGAACATAGTGTACTGCAAATCAAAGCAGTTTGTATGGTATTTAAGATAAGTTACAGAGATCAAAACCCAGCAGTCTCAGCTTAGGCACGATCTGTGGTGCCTCTGATGTCACAGAATGTGGTCTGGTCCTTGGAATGTTCACAGATATTGGGAGTGGTGTGTAGGGAAGTAGATAATAATGCAGAGAAGTACGTTCCACATGGAGGGAGGGAGGTGCCTGTAGCTATGGATATAGAGTCCAGATCCGAGTAATACCAGTGGCAACAAGAACACCAGCTAAAACTCAACACACTTCATGTGTGCTTTGTATTGTTCTAAGTGATCCCAGGGATGAGCACACTTGGTCTTCATGGTAGTCAGGGGAATTAACTATCCCTCTCTCCAATTTAAAGGTTGAGGGTACCAGGGGCTGAGGCTGTGGCTCAGCAGTAGAACGCTCGCCTAGCACGTGTGAGGCGCTGGGTTTGATCCTCAGCACCACATAAAAAATAAAAGCAAATAAAAATAAAGGTATTGTGTCCAACTACAACTAAAAAAATATTTAAAAAAAGATGAGGGTATCAAGGCACAAAGAAGTTAGATACATATTTGTGAATTTGCCTATTTGCTAAAACTTTTTTATAATCCCCAAATTCATATTCATGGTACCCTTGTGATCATCCATGGACATGCAGAGAGTGGTGAGAAAACACACACATTCCCAGTGGAGGTTGAAGAAGGCTCTTGTACTGGGGACAATTGTCCTTTTGGTAGTCTATGTGGTGTCGTGTTTTTCCCATTGTATTTTTTTGGTTGGTGATTTCGCTGTTTGAAATGGCCCCAAAGCATAGTGTTGATGTGTTTCAGAGCTCAAGAAAGCTGTAATATGGCTCATAGAGAAAAGACTTGTGTTAGATGATCGTTGTTTGGGCATGAGTTACAGTGTTGTTGGCTGTAAATTCAGTGTTAATGAATCAACAATATATTTTAAGTAAGGCGTCTTTAAACAGAAACACATGTAAGCCAAGGTCATATATTGGTTGGTTGACAAAAATGTGACTAGAGCTCTGTTCCTCTATTCCCTCTATTTCCTGCAGGGCCAGTGACTCAGTATTTCCTGATTCATTAATTCAGTGTTCACAATGACTTGAGAATATAACTACTGCTCTACTTGTCCTTGGTCACACCAAGTCCCTTGGTAGCCTCTTGCCCAATTTGTTTTATTTATTTTTTTAAAAAAATAGTTGTTGAGGTGTCATACACTGAGGACAATAAACTGCTGGGAGCCATTAGCCAAGTAGGTATGACAATTTCCTTGCCAGCGTATCCCATGTTGCAGTGACATTGAATGTACGTGACCTTGCTCAAGGACCAAGGCAGATTAGGGTGTTCTGGGTTTTAAGATAATCGTGTTTAGGGCGTTCCCAGTTTAGGTTCCAGGTTTAAGGTTTAAGATTATTCCTGCTGGGAATAGGGCGTATCCTGCTGCCTGAGTTCCCTTTGAGTTCTCACGGGATTTAGACAGTATATTTTGGAGATAGAAGCCCAGTGGAGGTGGATTTGGGAAGAGAATGTGGATTTCCCCAGAACGTGATTGTAGACGGCTGGTGTGAGTTCGGGAATAAAGAGTTGCTGTTTGAATCTACAAGCTGTGTGGTGGCTCGTGATTGTGTGCCCAGCCAGACTGCGGCATTTGTGCCCAGCCAGACTGTGGCAATAAACTACACATTTTTAAAAATGTGTGATTTTTTGTGTTTTGATCTATGGCGGGAATCGAGGTGATGAAAATATCCATCACTTCAGTTTTTCCCGTGCTCCTTTGTAGTCCTTCCTTACCCACCCTTTCCTGGATTTGTTTTCTCTCATTATAGATTAGTTTTTGTTTTCTAGAGCAGTGTATAAAGGGAATCAATATATTTTGTCTGGCTTCTTCCACTCAGCATATTTATTTTGAGATTATCTGTGTTAAAGCACATATCAATAGTTTGCTCCCTTTTATTGCTGAGTAGAATTAATGATGTCACACTTAGATCATCCATCCACCTGGGGATGGACATTTGGATGTTTCCAGGCTTTTGCTGTTTCAAATACAGCTTCTGGAGGTTGCTTTGTCTTTATCTGTTTATCTTTCTTGGCTTATAGGAATGCCTTATCTATCCTTCTGTCATTCTTTTTGGATTTAGTCTCCTTTTGCTGAGGTCATGGACATCTGGTTTGGTGCATGACTGTGAGTCTGCTAGTTATCTGAGTTCTGGTTTAGAACAGAGTAGGGTTGAGTGGTGAGGAAGACAAAGTCCGAGGTAAGCTGAGGCACCAAGCCGTAGACAACTGTCTCTGACAGGGCTGAAAGTTCTGGATGCATGTGGATCAGTTAATTGTTCCTGAGTCTGATCTCTAGTGTCAGTGGCCAAATCACTGTAGAGACCTCAGAATCTACCCTTTATTGTATTGATTCCAGGTGTGGCATAAGGTGGTTAAAGATAATTACTGGGAGAGCTGTCCTCAGATACCCCAGCCTTTGGGTCAGGAGGGCCCATTGTGGTCAGCATGAGCTATTTGGGGACCTGGAGATCAGTGCAAGCTTTACTTTGGGGCTCGGGGTGGATCATTATCCAAGGTCCTGCTGTCTTGCCCCTTCTACTAAAATGACTAGCTACTTATACTGGGAACTCCTATAACTCTTGTGATACTAAAGCTTTGCATTTCTGGCATTGCCAAGGACATGTAAGAGGGTGGGCATGGGAAACTCTGGCATGATACTTATCCTATATATTTATGTCCACTGTTGGTTATTTAAAACTGTAGGATAGCATGCTCTAGCACTTCTAGATGTCTCATGCCAAGAGTGACTCTTGCCAGACTCTCCTTCTGTTGTCACCATTAAAGCTTATCTTGAACAGGATTGCCCAGAAATGGAGACACAGAAGAAGAACAACCAACAGAAGCCTTGTCTGCGTGTGTACCTGCTTAGGTGGAAAACAAGAAAAGGTGCAAAAAAACAAAAAGTAAGGCATCTTGGCAATTTTGGTGTTGTTTTTTATTTTATTTTATTTTTTAATTTGTTTGTTTTTTGTTGTTGCTGTTTTTTGTTGTTGTTTTTTGTTTTCTTTTGGTTTGTGATCTTTATCCAGTGTTTGCAGCTAATTCAGTTTATATATAGGTTTTATGTATATGCAATGTTTTATATGTACAGCATTGTCTCTCAAAATGTTGCTTATGGTCATCTTTAAAATTCATGATTAAAAAAGAAGGTAAATTTTGCTAAGAACTTTCTGCCCTGGCCGCTCCTAAGGAAATTTAGTTCCTGAAGTAGCAAAATGAACTTGTTTCAGGGTGCTTCCCTGTGGAGAACTGCCAGGGACTTCTCTGTGTTTCCATGTATGATCTGAAGGCCAGACATTCCAACTGTCTTTAAGAAATAGGCTTTTCTTTTTTTTCTTTTTGAGCATGGGGGCAGCCTGGCTACAATATTGCCAAGAGAGTCCTCAGATCAACAGGCGGTTACAATTCATTCTAAGTTGAAAGGAGGATTAATTTTTTAAAAAAATATAGTCTCAGTTAAGAGAAGATACAGGAATGTAATAACATGTGATGAGATTTATGATAAGAGGTACAACTGTGATTGAATAGCTACATGTAAAACATTTCATGCTTTCAGTAATAACAGAGCTGTGGGTCTAAAGACGGGATGGAGACGCGAAGAGGGTAACGTTTCAAAGGTGCCCTCTTCTTTGTACTGTCAAGGGATTATTTCCCTTGGATGGATTATTTCATAGATGAGTTGATGACTGAGGGCCCAGTATGTGTGTGATTGATGTGGATAATTTCATCAGAAGATGATTACTTTCTTAGTTATTGCAGTTTTTAGAGCCAATGGAGGGGGGGGGGAGAATGTTCCTTTGAAATGACAGATCATGCAGATTTTTGCCAACTTCATACCTAAAACTCCTGATGGTCATTTGTAGTGACTCTGGCTGTTTGGCACCAGTGTGGCCAGAGTAGATAATCTTTTTTTTTTTTAATAAAAACATTTAAAATTTTATTTTATAATTGGACATTAGGAATTTTAAAATAAAAAATCCAAGTTTTACATAAAGAAGATTGACATGTTTGTAAACATCTAGAACATTAGAGTTTTAACAATTTCAGCATGGTACAGATTAGATTCTAGACCCATTCCAACCTTTGTAGGTGACAAAACCATAGTTTTTGCATAATGTGTACTTTAATTTAGCATATCATTATAGAGTGTCTGAATTCTGATGGTGGTTTTGAAAGAAATGTCCTTGCAACTGTTTCCTTTTTTGTGGATGAGGGGTATATTGCTCCATTTTCTTGTTGGTGTAACAAAATTCCTAAGGCTGAGTAATGTATAGAGAAAAGAGGTAAGATGTTTATTTGGCTCACAGTTTTGGAAGCTGAAACTTCAAGATCAGGTGGCCCCATCTGCTTGACCTCTGATGAAGATCTCCTTGTCCGTATCACTACCTGGCAAAGAAGCTGAAAGGGAAATGACTGTATGTCAAAGAGGCCAAGAGCATGAGTGGCCTCACTTTGTAACAAGCCATTCTCTTAAGGACTCACCCCATAAGACCAGCATTAATCCCTTCTGAAGGCAGTGTCCTTGTGATCTAATTACTTTGCACTAATGTCCACCTCTTAAAGATTTGACCACTTCCCAGCTCGGCCACACTGGAGTTAATGGTCCAGCACATGAACCTTTGGGGGACACTCTCAAGCTACATTCCAAACTGTGGCAGTGGGAAACCTTTTATACATGGATTTCACATTATCCATGAAAACAGACTGTTGTGCCTCAAAGTGTGTGTGATCAAGATGCATGTCATTATGCTTTACCCCAGTTGGTTTCTATTCTCAGGATACTCTGGGGTTCAGAGGACCAAGTCCCAGCCACAACAGTGAAATGTAGGTGTTGCTTAATTCCTAAGCCTCAGAATCCTCAGGAGCAATACCTGCTGAAAAATGAGTAGGGAAATATACAGATGGTCCTCAACTTAGACAGTCTCAGTAACCTCACCCCAATTTCTCTCTGCACCCAGCTGCAGCCAATTCTCCACAGAAAAGCCAGGGTGATCCTGTAAGGTCTGCTCCTGCTGCCCGGCTCCCCTGCTCATATGCCTGCAGTGATGACCACCCACTTCTCTGAGCAGTATAGTAGAGTGCTCACTGTGTGTTCTCTACTCCACCTGCCAAGCCAGTTCTTTGAGGGGCTGAAGGGTGGGAGGCTGGGAAGGGAAGAGGAGAATGGGGGTGGGGAATGGAAGAAGAAAACCCAAAACTGGGAAAGAAGGTAACAGCATGTTTGAAAAAAACTTCCTCCCACTTCTCTTGAGAGCTCTGCCTTGCTAGATTAAAGGCTTAAAGACGTGTTGGGAGAAAGTAAAACTTTTGGCTTTGTATAAAACCCAAACTTATTTTACTGTAAAGCCTTTTCTGTTTTTGTGGATTTGGAAGGAATTTGGGAAGCCACTCCAGTCTTCTGCTCTGCTTTGCTTGCTTCTTCTTCAAGAGCGTGTTTCCACGCCCCACTCCAGGTTGAAATTCTGCACCTGCTGCTTTGGCTTGGAGAGGACTCCTTGTCCTTCCTCAGCCTCGCCTACCACCAGTGACCACTAAGGGAACTCTAAATGCCTCTAATAAGTTTTCAAGGGATCAGAATCACTCACAGCTCACTGTACAGTTTCTAGCTGTTTCAAAACAAAGCCTATATTTACCACAGTTACAACCCTTCAGCCTATATACAATCTAATCCCAAATATATAACCTTAGGGAAGACATACACTTAGGGTGCAGGATCCAGAAGAGGTTCAGCCACGTCAGATAATGGTGGGTGTGAGAGCCAGAGAGAAACACGGAAAGAGAGTTGTCTTGTACCTATGATCTTTGGAGAAGCTGGGAGAGAATTTCACTGGAGAGATTATGGTTTGAAGAGACTGCATTGATTTGATGCATTGGAAGCAACTGGTTTAGAATAAGCTTTATCAACATTTGTAAGAAGAGTGCAGAGAGACTGAAGAGCCAGAGAGGAGATGGTAAGAGAAAGCGTTCCTCTCCTTTCATTTCCTTCTGAATATGGGAAATGCACACAAATATTTAAAACCCAAGGGAAGGAGACAGTGGGGAGGGAGAGATCAGATATAGAGGGGCAGAGCAAAGAGCGCGATCATGGGGTGAACCGGAAGCAGAGGCTTTGGGCAGGATTCAGTGCTGGCAGGGGAAGCCTGAGGCAATTGGTGATAAGGAGAGGGGAGAATGATCTGTTCATCCTGAAGGGGTGTCCATTTTCTGCAGGGAAAAGGAGAATGGGATGGGGGAAGACTTAGGGTAATAGAAAAAAAGTGTTGTGGGGAAAGAATAAGAATAATGAGGATGAATGAAAGACGGCCAAAGAGTAGAAAGGTTTCCTCAGAGTATGTTTTTTGGTGGTTGCCACTACCCTCCTTTGTGTTTCCTTAGAAAAGTCATAAAGCTTTTGATTTGGTGGGTTTTTCTCTGACATGAGGGTGTTGCTGTAGTTTGAATCTCAAATGTCTCTCAAAGGTACTTGTGTTAAAGGTTTGGTCCCCAGCTGGGTACTATTGGTAGGTTGTGGTACCTTGAGGAAGTGGGATAGTGGAAGGTCATTGGAGATTGCTCTTGAGGGGGATTGTAGGATTCCTGTCCCTTCTTTCTTTATTTATTTAGTTTTTGCTTCCTGGCCATGTGTTAAGAGTGTTTTTACTCTACCATTGTGCTTTTCCCATGATGTGCTGCCTTGCTGTATGTCTAAAAGCAATGGAACCAATTCATTACAGAGTGGATGGAAGCTCCAAAACTGTGAGCCAAAATAAACTTTCATATTTATATTGTTTATTTCAGGCATTTTGTTATAATGATGGAAATCTGACTCACACAGGTAACAACTTTTGTTTCTTTGGAAACCTGATCTTCAGGATAAAAGAAAATAAGTCACTTATCCCTTCTTTAGAGAGAATCAGCATCTTTACTTGACTTGTGAGGTATTCAAGTATTGCCAAGAACAAAATGCTTTAATAACTTGTCAGAAAAGACTTTATTTGTCAATTAAAATGGGTGTATTTTCTATTTCAGTTCTTTTGAATTATGAGCAAAACCTCATGCAACAAAATTGGATCTAATGGATTAATCTCATTCCTTTCTCTAGCACTACTACATCAAAAACAGGGACCACATCTTGATGGAGCTTAAAATTCCAGTGCTCTTGTTAAGACATGCAGCTTGAGACCAAAATAAGAGCCCCTGGAATTAGAGTCTCTTGGCACGATGACATTAAGTTAACTAAGATAGTAACCTGTCGTCGTCGTCATCTTTTTTTTTTTTAATTCGAAACCTGGTAACCTTTAATCTTCTAAACTTGGTCAAGAACAATTAGACTATTATCAGCTTTTGCAGTATTATTTATCACTGATACCGTGGACAAAAATTGATTGTTGGCTTCTATTGATTTTCAAAATTTATTGGTCAAGGGCAGTAGAGGGGCATACAGTGGCCTTGTTTCTTCTCCTATATGTCTCTTTGGTTTGACAGTCATTGTTAGATGGACCTGTATGTCTTCTACAGTACACAAGATAAAATGCCAATTAATTATACCAAGGAGACTAACCTAGTTGTCTGGGAAGACATTTCTTAACTGATTTAACCTAGGTTTGGCAGTTTGTGGGGAACTCTGCATGGCAGTGTAGCTTAGAACAGATATGTCACATTAAGATTATATGAGTCTCTCCAGGGTTCATGGGTAACTGATAGCACTTCCCCAAAAAGTTTTTAAGCCAACATAACATCTCCTATGTTGTAGGAGATGGAATTCTGGGATCTCAGATGGACCTTCATATTTCCAGTGTCTGGTGTGTGATGGGGACACTGTGAGTCTTTTTTTTTTTTTTTCTCCACACAGCCGTCTGTGGAATAAATGACTGGAACAGGGTTTGCACATTTTCTGCCAAGGACCACATAGTAAATGTTTTTG